TGCCTGGACCTGCATTTTTATCATCATTTTTCTCATGTATACAAATCACTGAGTTTCAGGCTGTATGTGTACCTACTACCACAAGACTTCTATAGAAACTGTGTGTACTACAGCCTGAATCTCATCGATGCGATATATAGTTGGGAATAAAGAAGATGGAAATGGGAATCCTAGTAAAACTGAGGTCCAGGCATTAATGAATAAGACTGTACATATAAGTACATACTTTACATAGCTGAATTGTTTTCGATTGCGCCAGAAGGCACTGGATTTCGAAATCGTCTATAGAACTATAGGAAAAATGTTTACAAAAATTATGGCACTTACCTAGATATTATCTATTAATATAAAATAAATGAAATTCTTATTTTCGTAGGATACCATATAGTAGTAGTTTACTGCCAGATTCGTTTGTTGATTGCACAGATTCCCCAAAACGTTGCATCTTATGCAAAAATCTTTATAGGATTGCCTATGTACGTTCGTTGATTTCTTGTGAACTAAGATCTACATTGCAGTTACTTGCTTATCAAGAGGAATGAATCGGAAGTATCTAATTGTGGAACATGTCAGATGTTATCCTGTTTGTAACATTATATATTCTCCTACTTGTATAAGACTAAATTTGCACATCTGCAATCTATAATTCTGCAACATCTGGTCTGCAATATCTGTCGATATCAATGATATGTGATAATTTTTTAAGTAATAAGCAGTTACTTTTAAATCGAATACACTGCTTAGTATTATTGGATTTACAATAATACTAGCTTAGAATATTCGAAACTTTCAAGGTTTTCCATTTGAAAAAAATGTCCTATTTTAATAACGTTCGAATCTTTATATGATTGTCCGAAAATTTATGAAAGAAGAATTCAAACGTTCCTCGCTACGTTCAGCATACCACAAAAATTCACCAAAAAAAACGATTTTAATTAATTCTTTTTAATGTTGAGAATAAATGTAGAAAAGTATACTTTAAATTGAAAAATAGGAACAGCGTCAAGGGTACAAACTCTGACAGTGATGGTATCAATTGTGCATTCTCAGTTCTACCAGATTTTTTCTCTTTAATATTCGTCGTTTCACGTTTTAGCTCGCGTTTCCTCCCCAGCAATTTATGAAATGTAACTGCCGCTCGAATGCTTGGCACGCGGCGAAGAAATCGTCATTGCCATCGCAACTTCGCACGTCTGCCAGCGTCTCGCAGCGAAATCGGCGAGTCACCGTACGAGTCCGAGAGATCGGTCGGTCCACGAGTCCACGGTGTGTGTCGAGGGGAAAGATACTGCGGAACATGGCCATCACTGATGAGCCAACCCACACCGTGTGCGACAGCGACAAACAGGACAGCACATCGGGACGGGACGGGACGGGACGGGACGGGACAGGACCGTCTCTCGCTCGGTATCAGGACTGTAAATCCGGGATTTTATTCGCCCGGTATCGAGGTTTATAGTGTCCTCAGTCGGCCGCGGCCGTGTGCGCCGTACCCCTTCGCGTACGTGTGCCTGAGTTATGTCCAACCATCGTACGGCAAGACGTTTGCATATCTCCGCTCCTCGACACGGTGTTGGCCGTGAGAGGGTGAGGGGCGCGCAGGAAAGCCTCCCCCTCCTTCCTCTTTCCCGCCCCCGTTCGCTGCCATCTCTTGTCCGCTGAATCGCCGTCGATTTCTCGGCTCGGTCCGTCATCCTCCGCCTCTCTGTCCGCGAAACGAGATCTTGGTGAAAAACGCGCGGTTTATCCTGACCTCCCCCCGGACCACCCCTCCTTACCATTCCCCTCGGGTCTCCTTCGTCCTGTCGAGTATTAACCGGCTGTCCGGCGAATTGAATTTATCGGACGGTCCCGCTTTATCGAACGCCCCCACTTAACGTCTCGCTTAATTAGACACCGGTCGCACCGGTGTGCTTAATGACGTAGAGGACTCCCGGTGACGCCGGGTCGACCGTCGTCTCATCCACGGGCGCTCGAGAGATCAGCGATCGCAGTTTTCACTCATTCGAGATGCAAAAAATGCAACGGCCGTCCTTGTTAATCCCCGCGTTAATTCAGAGTGATCTTGGGTTGACCGATCTTTTGTTCGTCTCTTTCCAGAACTTTAGCTAGATCAATTCGAAAGTGACGTCGAGAACGTCTAGCATCGAATCGAAAAAAAAAACGTGAGAAAAGCTATCTTTTTCTTTAATCGGCGTTTGAAGAATGAATATTCATAAAGCACATTTTTTAATGAGTGATTAGTAATGGGTCCTCTGTTAGGCTTCGATCCCTCGTCCCGCATATTTTTCCGCGAAGAGAAATTTCAGCGCATGAAGAAACTATGCCTAGTGTTGGATTCACGATTGAGCACATAAATTTCAAGGGATTCGTAGAAATATCACGCTGATATAACCTAACGGCTGACGTTCCCACAGAAGGGTAAACTTAAAAAAGGCACATTTTATGTAAATAAAAACGGTTGCATTATTAAAAATGGCCTTACATTTGTTGCATCGCGTCGGCCCCATCCGCCCGCGTGCGGCTGCGAGGACGGAAGCGTGGATTCTAGCGCACGGCGGGATCGCGCCGAGAGCTTATTACGTGCTAGATGAACGTCCGCGTTTATTGACTGCCTTCGGAACTAGTTTGACCGCGACGTAGACGGCTTCACCGCCGTGTAATCTCCGTGGGAACGCGCCGCAGCGTCCCGCGTAAAGGGTGGACTCGCGGCTGTGTACGCTCGCGTAGAGTGTTTTACGACACGCCGGCGAGGTGACGGAAAAATAATACGGATTGCCCGTAAATACCGAATCGCCGGCGGTTCTGGCAGCGCCGGGAAGCGAATTCAGGCGGACTGGCGCGGGCCGCGAGGCGGAAATTGTTGCGCTCGCGAGTGACTTCGACGGTCACGGTACGGCGGTTCTCCCTCCGGGTCTCCTCACCGCTCGATCCTCGGCGCGACGCGCGTCCCGCGATAAGGCCGATCGTATCCGGCCGCGGTGGAAATATCACGGCTTCTTAGAGTCATCGGGATGCGCCACCGACGTGAACATATTAAACTCGCCGCTACATTTTATGACATAATTCCAGGATTATGGTGGATCCCGAGATAAGCGTCAGCCTCGGTAACGACCCCGGCCTGTTAATTTCATAATTTGCGAAACGTCGTTGCTCCGCGTTCGCGTCTTTTTAATAAGACAAAGAGAATTGAACCAATGAAAGAGCGATCGTAAAGGCCTGTGTCCACGATGCTAGAACCTGGTCCAAGTTCTAGTTCCGAGAAATGTGTAGTCAGTTAACTTGCAGCTTTTATGGATTAGCACATTTCTCGAAACTAGAACTTGGACCAGGTTATAGCATCGTGGACACAGGCCTTTAGAAAGGGGACACGTGACATTATGACCTAAGTTGAGTTAACAAAGGATCGCTGCTCTACGTGACAGGCGCATTTCTTTTAAACAAATTAGGGCAAAGTGTAGCATAAAATCTACTAAAGAATTGCTTGTAAACACGGAGAGAATTTTTTCTTAAAATTTATCCTGAAAATCATGTAATTGCGAGACAACGTGGCGTTTTGAAGAATTTTATGAGAGTTTTTTTTAAATTTTACCATATATTTTACTAGTAGAATGTATGATAAAATTTCAAAAGACTCACAAAATTCTTCAAAATGTCATGTTGTCCCACGATAACATGATTTTCAGGGTAAATTTTAAAATTATCTCCGTGTATATGCATGATTTTGTGTCCACGATGCTAGAACTTGGGCCAAGCTTTTATGGAATAGCTGCAAGTTGATTGGCTACACATTTCTCGAAACTAGAACTTGGACCAGGTTCTAGCATCCTGGACACATACCTTAACCGACTAAATTCAAGCCGTATTTAACTTTTCCCTGATTGCTGTTTTCTGAGTTGAAATGCACTCTTAGCTCCAGCTCGGCACGAATTACGACGTAACGTTGGGCCTTCTTTATAGGCCCTCGTTGTCTTTTAATCCCACGCCCATGACCGACCACTTCTTGAAGCAATGATACGACCGACCTCAGGTTCCGATCAGCGACGTGTGTGCTCAAGGAGACGGGAAGGAGATTTCGAGGCGACCGCTCGTAAATATCGGGCCGCTCGTCCGCCCGATCGAAAGTGGATCCGCGCAATTTCCCGGCCCATCGCGAACGGACCGGCCGAGGGGTAAACTCCTCGGACTGCGACCTCAACCGCGACGGTGGCCTCACGATCGACGGCGGAATAATTGGTAGCGCTACCGGGCGCTTTTAATAAAGCGAAACGATAAACGCCTCGTCGTCGGCGGAATCGTCGGGACGCATTACGCGGCAATCTGGGGAACGATAATTTTCGCGTTACGCGACAGCGATCGGCCGGTGGCGCCGGCGATTCTCAGGGAATTCTCTCCTCCCCGTTACGGAAGAATCTCCTCTCGGGGAACCGACTTGCGCCGATAATCAAGGGCGATCGCAACGGTATTAAAATTATGGACACGCGTGTACGCGCCGTGCCGATTCCTTTGATCGTCCCTGCGGCGTGACGCTCCGCTACGAACGCGGACTCCGACAAGTACCGCGGGCAATGAGAAAAATGCGCGAGCGTGTATCTAAAAGGGGTACGGATTAACGGGAGGTGTGGTTTAACCAGAACGTGTACGACTACGTATTGAAATAAGCATTTAATTTCCATATTTTAGCAGTTCTCGTGTCGACGTTGCAAAATTGAATTTTCAAGCAATTTAAGTCACGCACGAGAGAACATTACCGGATGTCTGCGGACGTAAACAAAATATATCCATTTTGCGAGGAGCAAATTGACAAATGACCATTTAAAAATCTGAAAAACTCGGCTGTATTAAGAAAACGATCGCTGACAACAACGTTACAGTCGCGAATTGTATTTAAACGAGTGAAGAAAAAAAGAATGCGTCCTTTGGGAAATCCAATTTATCGGATATTTCGCCTCGCGTACTCGGGTTTACTTATTCAGATTGTCACTTTGTTATATCGCGGAATTGATATCTCAACGAGTTTGATATTGATGTTTTGATAATCCGGGAGCGCGTCTCGGCTCTTTAATCTTCAGCTTGTCCTGCCCATCGCTATTCGCATTTCTCTCAGGCTCCGCCAGCGGAGCTATTGAGAATTCGTGAATCGATAATAGTCTGGCAGGACCTATATGCACCGGCGCAACTCGACTGAGCCTTGACCAATAACGACAGCGATAACGACGTGAATAAAGAGCGCTCGGGCCGTATGTGAGAACCGCGTTGCGTGTTTAGAATCGCGCGCCCGTTTCTCAGGGAAGGATCGATGATCAACGCCGTTGCCAATTAATACATCGAAGTAGCTCGTGATAAATTGTGGTCGTATACGCGCGTGTGAAGTACGTGTGCCGAGAAAGAAATTAATGCCGGTCTTATGCCAGCGGGAAAAAGTTTTTTAACATTGAGCAAACGGTCGTACGACTCGGCGTAGGAGAAAGGCAGGAGAGCTTATCGCGCGGAAGGATAACGAACATCGCGCTCGCCGATAATTATTACGCTAACTTCAACT